CAAGATGGTTCTTCAAGGGTTCTTTAGGCAAGGCACTGTAAATGCAAAGAACCATTTAAGCATGAAATGGTTCCCTTTACTAAAGAACCCTTGAAGAACTCTCTTATTTAAATGTGCAATTTATCTGTGCTTTGATTGGCTGTTTCATGTCCTATTCGTTGCGGTTTTGGTTGAGTAATTAAGTCTAAAGTGAATTGGAAGAGTTTTTATATTACACAATGCAACTGAAATGTAGTTTTATATACAGTTGAAGCCACTAAAGTGGTGTAAAAGTTTGGCCTTGTGAGGTCAGTCTGTTTACTGTCAGTTTACTGTCTGTTTACTGTCTGTTTATTGGAGTCTATGTTGTCTGTACAACTGTAAATGAACATTGTGAGTCTTTACTCTGTAATCTAGGTAATGCATTTTTCTGAGAAATAAGACACAGGTCAAAAGTTGATGTCATCAACCTCTATTTACTCTTTTTATAATTTCCTGTGAGTGATGAGTTGGCTTTTAGTAATCTTTACAGGCTGTAGTGATTCTGAAGGCCACTAAAATCCAGTTTAGTATAAGCTGTGAAATATGGCGGCACAATGTAATGTTTAATGTGCTTCTCGTAGATTGTAACTTTATATTTGTAATCACTAATATAACTTGAGCCTTGCCATCTTTGTTTAAACCATCTTATAGTCACCTTTTACAATGGGAAAGATAAGTATGAAGCATTTTTTAGCACTTTTTATATTAAAAATGGACAAAATACAAACAAATTTCAGGCTTCAAGATGTCATCTCCTGTTTTTAGCTATGTAAAAGTACTTTTGTTTATATTTACAGATAACAGTGAGTCACATGGTGTTAGAAACCACATAATCAAGTCTGTTAGAGATACTGAACAATTGCACACGGTTCAAGATGAGTGTGTGATGTATTAGGTATGCTGTTAGCAAAATGCTAATTGCTGTACATTACTTGTTAGCTATGTTAGCCTTGTAGCTCCAGTGCTAAAACTAAAGAAGCAAACTTCAGACAAGAAACATGACTTGGTTGACTGACTACATTTGGGCTAAGGCTGAAAATGTATACAAATTTGTTTTTAAACTGTAACTTTCAGCAGTCAAAATAAGAATGACGCTACATACGTGCTACAAGTAAGCTAACCCTCCTGCTCACTGAAATGCCGTTGCTAAAAATGAATTGAATTAAATTTCAACACTGTTATGCACCAACTACTCAAACTGCAGCCTAAACCTGCCAAAGATTCTAAACTACACTCTTAAAAAATGGTTCTTCAAGGGATCTTTAGCAGACAATGGTTCTATATAGCACCTTTTTGAAAACAGTTATACAGCACCAAAAAGGGATCTGCTATTGTTACAACGTTGAGCTTGTAACAATAGAAGAACCCTTTTTGGTGCTGTATAAAACCATATATAACACGTGAAGTTATGCTACACACTTTCATACATATGGTTCTTTAAGGGTTCTTTAGTAAAGGGAATAGTTCTATTTAGAACCATGACTTCTACATAGAACCATTTCACGCTAAATAATTCTTCTTATGGTGAAATGATTCTTCAGATTGATGGAGAATGTGTTGTGCATGGTTCTATGTAGAACCTTTTTGAAAAGGGTTCTATATAATATTAAAAAGGGTTCCGGAATTGTTATGATGTCAAGCTTGTAACAATAGAAGAACCCTTTTTAGAGATATATAGAACCAAGCACAATGCAATTCTTCATTAAGCTGAGCTACACACTTTTGTCCTCCATATTTATACACTCATGTGGTTCTTAAAGGGTCCTTTAGTAAAAGTTTTAGTAAATGGTTCTAAATAAAACCTTCTACATAGAACCATTTCATGCTTAAATGTTTCTTTGTATGGTGAAATCGTTCTTCAGATTGATGGAGAACGTGTTGTACATTGTTCTATGTGGAGCCTTTTTGAAAAGGGTTCTATATAGCCCCAAAAGGGTTCTGGTATTGTTATGATGTCATGCTTGCAACAATAGAAGAACCCTTTTTGGTGCTATGTAGAATCTTATAAAGCACATTCTCTATCAATCTGAAGAACTATTTCACCATGCAAAGAACCATTTAAGCATGCAAATAGTTTTTTTGAGTGTTCTTGGTTCTGTATATAACCATTGTCTTTACTAAAGAACCCAATATGGGCATGACACCAACTTCAGCGTGACAAGGCAACTTCAGAAGTTTGTTACTTCAGCTGGTAAATAAACAGCTCTGAGGGCGCCCTTATCAAATGGTTAGCAGTAGTTGTCTCTCTCTCTCTCTCTCTCTCTCTCTCTCCCTCTCTGTCTCTTTCTCTGCCGTCAGGCTCTGGTTCCCCTGCAGGTCAGTGCAGGTCAGTAGAAGTGAAGGTGAATTATATAATTTTCTGAATCTCTGATATACACAAAACAACAGCACTGCATAATCTATACTTTGCATTATCTACAGAGCCGGTCAGTACTGTCCAGTGGGGTGCTCACTCACACACGCACCAGTGTTTACGGTGCAGCTCTCAGCAGTCATATGTGTTTACCTTATGCTTTCTCATGTTACTGTAATCGCGCTGTAACAATAAGTCTTATTGGAACACATTCATATGAATTGTATTCTCTTACTGTACACATATTTACTGTTGTTTGACCTAATATTGCTAGAACAGCAGTAAATTAGGAATGTTACTGTGCCGTTCACTCTCCAGCATATACCAGTGTAATCTCTATGGCTTTTATTGGTTATTCGATTATTTAAATAATTCAATTCCTTAATAAAATTCTTTGATTTGACTTATTATTCAGTAAGCTAGAACTAAAATGTAAGCTCTGTAGTTATAAGAGTGAGGGTGAACGATAACACAACAACAACAACAACAACAACAGCAACAAAATGCAAAGTTTTGGTCAAATTCCATGTTGTTGATTTTCTAAGTGTAAATAATTTCTCCTCTACAGAGACACACTTCTGCACATTTTAATAGACAATTACTGCTTATTTGCTGAGTTTAACATGTTTGAAAAAATTTAATATATATAACGTGCCTTTTGCAAAAGATATGGCACATTTTCCATTTTATATTTTAAGTAAATAGATGGAAGTAAATAGACATTGTGACATTAAAATTGGCTGAGAAAAATGGCATATATGTAGAGGATGTGTTTATTTTCACTTAGAAAGTCAAAAAACATGCAGTTTAAAGATTATCACTGTTATTATAATTATTATTATTATTATTATTATTAGTAGCAGTAGTAGTAGCAGTAGTAGTAGTATTGCCCAATCTAACATATATACATTTATTATTAATATAATTATAATTATTATTTAAGTAATAACATATACTAAATATGTTGCAAATAGATATATATTACATATTACATAATTTGCATATGATTGATAATGGTAAGGATATATACAATATGCTATATGAAATGTTATGCTATTTAGTGTAGTGTGTACAGTGTCTCATACATCAGGCCAGAGGCACTTTTCCATTTTTGTGTCGGTGTAATGGTCAGTACAGAATCCTGCTCTCTGATTTCCACCACAGCGTCATCATCCTCAGCACACTTTCACTGAGTCAGACACTCTGAGTCTCCTCCAGCTCTCAGTAACCCCTCTAACCCTGAACAGGGGGATTTAAACTGTCAGACTGGAGTCAGACGGTGTGGCGCAGGAGGAGATACATGCAGAGCTTAATCCTGCTGCTGTGTCTGTGAGTACAGGCTGTCCTACACACTATGGTCTATCTGCTCTGTTCTGTCTGCTCTGTCTGCACTGCTCTATCTGCTCTGTTCTGTCTGCTCTGTTCTATCTGCACTGCTCTATCTGCTCTGTTCTGTCTGCTCTGTTCTATCTGCACTGCTCTATCTGCTCTGCCATGTTCTGTCTGCACTGCTCTGTTCTGTCTGCACTGCTCTATCTGCTCTGTTCTGTCTTCTCTGTTCTGTCTGCTCTGTTCTATCTGCACTGCTCTATCTGCACTACTCTATCTGCTCTGTTCTGTCTGCTCTGTTCTATCTGCACTGCTCTATCTGCTCTGCCCTGCTCTGTTCTGTCTGCACTGCTCTATCTGCTCTGTTCCGTCTGCTCTGTTCTATCTGCACTGCTCTATCTGCTCTGTTCTGTCTGCTCTGTTCTATCTGCACTGCTCTATCTGCTCTGCCCTGTTCTGTCTACACTGCTCTGTTCTGTCTGCACTGCTCTATCTGCTCTGCTCTGTTCTGTCTGCTCTGTCTGCACTGCTGTCTGATCTGTTCTGTCTGCACTGCCTGCACTGCTCTGTTCTGTCTGCACTGCTCTGTCTGCTTTATCTGCTCTATCTGCCTTGTTCTCTCACTGTTAATCAAGTTATAACTTATGTAATAACACGAGTGCAGTTATTTCTCTTATTCAGGTCTATTGTTCATTGTTTTGGCAATAATGTAACCTGTAACCATTTATTCAAATAAATCACTCATCAACCACAATGTGTGTGTGTGTGTGTGTGTGTGTGTGAGAGAGAGAGAGAGAGAGAGACTATATGTTAAGAGAGGGACTATGTGTTTTTGAGAGGGACTGTTTTAAAGAGAGAGACAGAGATAATGATATTCAACTGATGTGCAAGTGTGTGTGTGTGTGCATGATTACATATATCTGTGTATAAACAAATATATTCATATTTGTATTGTTTGTATTAATGTTACAATAACTATCAATATCACAGTTATAATAAAGCATTAATTGAATTGCTTTGGCAACAGTTGCTAATAACAGCTGAGTTGAATGCAGTTAAATCTGAGACTGACTGTGCATGTGTGTATGTGCGTGTGTGTGTGTATGTGCGTGTGTGTGTGTATGTGCGTGTGTGTGTGTATGTGCGTGCGTGTGTGTGTGTGTGTATGTGGTTCCTGAGGGCTGTTCTTCTTCTGTGCTCTCTTATGAAACACTCAGATCTTCCTTTTCATCATCATCAGCGAGAGAGAGAGAGAGAGGGAGAGAGAGAGAGAGAGTCATATGAGCTGCTCACTTACCATGAAGAGAAGAGCCTGGTGAGTTTAGGAGCGACATTATTAATACTTTCAGTTATTAATCCATACAAAAGTGCAAAAAAAGGGTCCAAAGTGAAAAAGTAATATCCAGTGTGGTCAGTTGGAGTGTCTGGCAGCAGCAGGGTTTAGGGGTCAGTTAGAGTCCAGTGTGAGTGTCTGACCATGTGCAGTAAACTGCAGAAACTGAGCTCCATGCTGGGTTAAATATAGGCCAGGGACAAAAGGGGCGGAGCTTCGCCTCTGTTTGGGCCGACCTGCAGCAGACCGACCTATTACAGACCTCTCTCTCTCTCTCTCTCTCTCTCTCTCTCTCTCTCACACACACACACACACACACACACATACAACAGAGTTTACCTCTATGTCTCTCACGCACACACAGGCTCTAACTCTCTCTCTCTCTCTTAGACTATAACTGTCTCTCACTCACTCTCTCTCAGACTCTAACTTTATGTCCCTCACTCTCTATCTCTCTGTCTCACACAGACTCTGTGTCTCTCTCTCACCTTTTCTCTCTCAGACTGTCACTCTCTCTCTCTCTCTCTCTCTCTCTCTCTCTGTCTCACACAGACTCTATGTCTCTCTCTCTCTCTCTCTCTCTCTCTCTCTCTCTCTCTCTCTCAGACTCTAACTCTGTCTCTCTCTCTTTCTCTCTCCCAGACTCTAACTCTATGTCCCTCACTCTCTCTCTGTCTCACACAGACTCCAACTCTGTCTCTCTCTCACGCTCTCTCTCTCCGACTCTATCTGTATGTCTCTTTCTCAGTCTCTCACACAAACTCTCTCTCTCGCTTTCTCTCTCTCTCACAGGCTCTAGGTCTCTCGTTCCTACTCCCTCTTTCTCCGACTCTTAACTCTATATCTCTCTCTCTCACACAGCCCACAGACTCTAAGCCTCTCTCTCTCGCCCTGTCTTGCTCTCTCTCGGTCTGATTAGAGCTCATTAAGCTGTTCTTTTGCAGTAAATCTTACAGCATAATCTCGAACTCTCTAAGTGGCAGATTATATTCTCCTGTTTAACACTCTCAGCACTCTAACTACCGCACACACACACACCCTCACCGGCCACTCTGTCAGCTCCACTCAACACACAGCTGCAAGAAAAAGTATGTGAACCCTTTGAATTACTTGCATTTACAGACAGAGTTGTCTTAAAATACAATCTACACTTCAAATAAGTTACAATAAAAACAAGCATAGTCTACTTGAAAAAGACATTTCCTCAAGGGTTCTTTAGTCAAGGCAAAGGTTCTATTTAGTACATTGAGTTCTGTATATCCATTTCATGCTTAAATGGTTCTTTGCATGATGAAATGGTTCTTCAGATTGATGGAGAATGAAGCTTGATGTCAAAACAATAGCAAGGTCTTTTTGGTGTTATGTAGAACCAATTTAAAAAAGTTTCCATATAGAAATATATACAATCTGAAGAGCATGAAATCATTCTATATAGAACTCTATATATTAATATAGAGCCATTGCCTTGCCTAAAGGGCCCATGAAGAACCATGGTTTCTTAGTGTGTAAATGTGGGCACCCAGTCAAGATCACTCCAAAGGCACAAAGCAGAAAGCTCAATGCAGTTAAAAGAAACCCTTACAGGAACCATGCACACTTAAATAAGATGGTTCTTCAAGGGTTCCTTAGTAAAGACAAAGGTTCCAAATAGAACCATGAACATTCAAAATGATTAAATTGTTCTTTGCATGGTGCAATTGTTCTTTAGATAGATGGAGAATGTGTTGTATGTGGTTCTATACAGAATCTTTTTGAAAATGGTTCTACATAGCACCAAAGGGGTTCTGCAATTGTTACAAGCGTGACATCATAACAATAGCAGAGCCCTTTTAGTGCTATATAGCACCATATACAACACATTCTCCATCAATCTGAAGAACGATTTAGCCCTGCATAGCTGCATTTAATCAGGCAAATTGTTCTTTGAGTATTCATGGTTCTAAACAGAATCATTGTCTTTACTAAAGAACCCATGAGGAACCACCTTTTTTGTAGGAACTGGTTAACATTTCATGTTCTGTTAACTTACTATTTAAAATGCTTTTAACTCAAAATAAAAAAAAACATTAACTTTTTAATTGATTACAACCTTTTTTGCAGTATGTAAACAGAGTGATTCAGAGTGGTTTGGTGTGAAATGGTTCAGATTTCAGTGGTGGTGATAGGAACCAGGGGTCACCATGACTACAACACAAATATTGACATTTTATTTACTGTCCAAAACTACTAGTGAACCTACACAGGTCAAATATATTAAATTTGAAAAAAAAGAATTTTCCCTGGAGACTATTTTTCCTCACAACGCCCTGACCATACCTCCCCACCATGTACAGATTGGAATAACAGACCATTTTAGGCCAAAATCTTCAATCTTATGTTGCAAAACTAGCATAAAACAAACCCTCAGGCATCATTAACTAGTGTAACTATTTCCTGTAATAACTGTCTGTGAGGGAGCTTTTAGAGGTGGACGTCTGGTTCCTATCACCACCACTGTGAACAATTCTGACTCGGTAAGTTTCTCTAGAACAGAGCGTTTCACACCAAACCACTCTGAATGACTCTGTTTTCAAATTAAGCAGTAATTTTGAAAAATCAATGGAATTCCTCTTTTATGCTTCCAAACTTTTGACTTTTTGTCTACTATTCTTGTCACACCTGCGCTGCATTCTGGTGCTGCAGTGAGCTGCTCCAGTTTGCTTGTCTAGAGTGTTTTACATTCTTGGCAGGTTTGGATGTTTACGAGAGTCCTGAGTTATAAATGGAACGTTTTGGGTGTCGTTCCACATGGTAAGGTCATCACAGTCTATCTGTGTTTGTGTGGGTCTCTCTCGTATCTGTGATGTCATTTCTGCCATCTCTGTCTGTCTCTGCTCAAGGTGTAGAACGTGCTCCACTGCATGTGTGTGAATGTGAGTGTGCATGGAAGTTTGTTTACACAACAACGCCAGCTTGAAAATCTTAATCTTTTGATTTGTTTGTCCTAAGCTTGTCCAAGCTGAACATCTCCTATCACAGCTTTCATCATAAATCCAAAATTGAACCTAAATAAAAACTCGAGCTAAAACTCATAAATATAACAAAAACTTAGCTGTTCATTCATCCACTGACTATCTAAGCTGGGTCACGGTGGGGTTACTGGAGCCTATCCCAGCACTCACTGTGCAGAAGGCAGGAAACACCCTGGACAGGTCACCAGTCCATCACATGATTTAATATCTCTAATCAGCCTGACTGCAAGTCTTTGGACTGTGGGAGGAAACCCACACAGACACTGGTAGAACATACAAACTCCACACAGAAAGAACCCTGATTGCCCGGCCGGGGAATCGAACCCAGGCCCTTCTTGCTGTGAGGTGAAAGCAAGTTTCTTTGTGTGGTTTTTTAAGGCTACTTGTAGCTTAGCGTGCTAGCTAGCTCTGCCAACTCAGGCTGTTGTTTCAACTAGCTTGCACTAGGTTGTCACAGCCCTGTTGTTGAGCACTGTTACTTGAGTGACATTAGCAGGAGTGATTAGTGATTTAATTAATGTCTTACTAGAGTGACTCAGCAATCTGTTACAAAAGAGAAACTCCACCAATTTTCAAAATTCCCCATAATTCAGTGTTTGAAATGTAAACAGGGTGATTCAGAGTGGTTTGGAGTGAAAAGGTTCAGATTTCTTTATAGTCACCATGACTACAGCACAGATATAGACATTTCATTTATTATCCAAAACCACCAGTGAACCTACACGAGTCTTCTGAGTTTTATATGGAATGTTGATGATGGGAAAATATGTTAAATCTGAAATAATAACTTTCTTTGGGGACTACTTTGTGTATTTTGCCCTGCAGGCACCCCTCCACCATAAAGAGATTTTAAAAAGCACATTTTAGCCAAAAATCTAATTGCAAACCTATCATTAAACACTTAAATAGTGTCTCATGCATCAGGCTGTTTGTGTATAACCATTTCACAGGGAAGCAGGAAGGTGTTTTATGTTGGGTTTGCTAAGCAGCGTGTATGTGGCGTGACTGATGACATCATGCAGAATGATTGTCCTTTTTTTATTTAATTTATAAAAAAATCTAACAGAGCGCGTCAAAGTGTATAATGAGGCGAGAGACAACAACATACACACACAACTAACACATCAGGCCACTGACGCACAGACTCACTCTGTTCTCTCATTCTGGACGAACTAAATGCAGCTTACCTGGGCAGCGACCAGTCAGACTGTTGTTAATGTGTGGTGTTGTGACACATTGTGTCACATCTACAGTCACACGGTGAGATTTAACACTAGAATGCACACCAAACAGGAGGTATAGCAGCTTCATTATTACATGAAATGACTCTTTTTAAGCTTAAAAAAAGTCTTAGGCTGCTTTGGGGTTAAGAACTGGTCTATAACTCTGCACACCCTTTTCCTCTTTGCACCTGTGTGTGTTTGAGCGATGTGCCCAAATTGGCCAACAGTTTTTGATTCACTGTAATAAAAATACTGTTTCATTCACCTAAAGAGTGCAACTACTGCAGATTTGGAAAATAAGCCTTCAAATTTCTCTCTAAAACAAGCATATAAGAGCCTTACAATGTTCAAAGTTTTATAAAGTTCCAAAACTTGTATTTATATTATTTATTTTTAAGTTATTATTATCATTTTTAACAACTGGAATCCTGAAATCAGCACCCACACTTCCCACATCCCTGCCATTTCATGTAATAACTTTCTGTGGGGGAGCTTTTAGAGGTGGACGTCTGGTTCCTATCACCACCACTGTGAACAGTTCTTACTCAGTAAGTTTCTCTAGAACAGAGCATTTCACACCAAACCACTCTGAATGACTCTGTTTACATGTTTAATTGTGTAGGAATTTTAAAAAATCTGTGGAGTTCCCCTTTAAGGTTGGGGGTATAATGGTAATAAAGTATACTTGGGTGGGAGCTGACTGATAGCTGGCATTGATAAAAAGAGCCAGGAAAAACTCCGCCCACTCACACTGAAGCTATAAGGGGTGTTTCAGCCCAGACTACTCTTTGAACTAGGCACAGCCAATCAGAACAGAGCTCATTTACATATATTAGTCTTCAGAGCATAGCTTGTTTAATTCTAAGTGATAAGGAAAGGCTGTAAATGGTTATGAACCTACATTACAAGTGGACAAAATGAGGAGACAAAAGGAAAA